ATGTATTCACTTTGTATTCTTTAAGTAAGTAAGTCCACAGTGCTCACATATGACAGAGAAAATGTAAAGATAACCAGCATCTCGACCCCCCTCTCAGACACTGTCACCTTGGTAGAACTTATTAGCTGTGGTCTCTGGGCCCTACTTACACGTCATTGTTTCTAAAATTCATCTTGCTTTTCAGCCTTCATCTCCTCGAAGTAAATGTTTTTTTGTGGGGACGGTAAGTTTTAGAGTCTATGCTGAGTTAGTTGAGCCCATAACTGTTTACCCTTTTTCTTTTCTCTCTTTGTTTTCTTCCAAACTGTTCCTCGCAGCTCAGGCCTTCCTGCAGAGGTCAAATTTTTTTTTAGTGAAAATCTAATTGTATTATACAATCTCAAGTTGCTGTATAAAAATGTCTTTATTTTCTCTTTCCCCTGCTGTCTGAACGTTGGGTGTGCCTCTGAGAGCTTTTATTAGCTGAAATGGCATTATGCAAAGAGGCGATGACATTAGCACACATCACAGTATTTTCACCCTTTTCAGTAAAAGCGAAAATCCTCTTCGTATTTCTCTTGGTTAGTGGAAACAAGTACTAATGTAGGTCTTTTGTAAAAACAAAGTAGTGTGAAGCAAAATTTTAAAAAGCAGGGGATACCTGAATTTTAGTTGAATCTTGTTTATGTTGACAGTTATTTTTTCACTTTGAAGACATTGTATTGCTGTCTTCTAACCTCAGTTGCTGCTATCGATGACCTACTTCTGGTAATGTAATCCTTGTTTCTTTATAGCTAGTCTGTGTTTCCTATCTGGTCACTTCTAAGATGTTCTCTCTGCTTTTGTGCTGTGTGGTGTCTCTTTCAGATACATTTACTTTTCATTTATCTTATATAGTAATTGTGTGGTTTCCTCTCTTTCGTGACTTCTGTAAACTAATCAGACATGATTGCTTCAGGTTTTTATTGCCTCTCTACTATCCTTTATTCCCTTCCCAGGAACTACTCTTAGACCTATGGAGAAACTTCTCATTGTTTCTCTGTATCTCATTTTTTATTACTGAATTTATTAGGGTGACATTGGTTAATAAAACCATACAGGTTTCAAGTGTACAACTCAACAAAACATAATCTGCCCACTGCACTGTGTACCCATCACCTCATACAAGGTACCTTTCCATCCCTATTTTCTCTCCGTTTGTCCACCTCCCCCTGCCCCCCACTCCCTTTCCTTCTGACCATCACACACTGTTATCTGTGTCTATATATATATAGTCATATATGTATATATGTCTATATATATATATTATTTTTTTTGCTTAATTTCTTCACCTTTTTCATTCAACCTCACAAGCCCCACCCTACCCTGACAGCTGTCAGTCTGTTCCATGTATCCGTGCCTCTGTTTCTATTTTGTTTGTCAGTATATTTTGTTCATTAGATTACACATATAAGTGAGATTATATGGTATTTGTTTTTCTCTGATTGGCTTATTTCACTTAGCATAATGTTCTCCAGGTCTATCCATGATATCGAAAAAGGTTGGCTTTTCTTTTCTTTTATGGCCAAATAGTATCCCATTGTGTACATGCACCACAACTTTTTTTTTTTATCCTCACCCGAGGACATTTTTCCATTTTTTGTTCAGATAGAGCGGGAGAGAGAGGAAGAGAGAGAGAGAGAGAAACATCGATGTGAAGGGACACATCGAGTGGCTGCCACCCGCACGACCCAACCAGGGCTGGGGACAAACTGCAACTGAGGTACGTGCCCTTAGCGGGAACCGAACCCAGGTCTCTCTGGACCGCAGGCCGACGCTCTAACCGCTGAGCCAAACCGGCCAGCGCGCAACAACTTTTTTATCCACTCATTTACTGATGGGCACTTGAGTTGTTTTCAGATCTCATAATTTCCATTTTAATTTTCTCCACCTGTATCCTAGGTGATCTACATATTCTGTCAAGTTGTTTTTCTATTACACGAAGTGCTTAGTAGCAATAATACTTCTGTTATTGTGTCTGCAGACTCCTTCTCAGATGGATTTTTTCTCTTGTATGTTTTGTAATTTTTTTCTAGAGAGTTTGTCTTTAGAGATGCTTATTTAATTCCCTGATAAAATCCCACAGGAATATGTTGGGTCACGTTCCTTAGAACTGGACACTTGTAATGAGGATTCCATGAAGAAAATGTTCCAGGGAAACTGGCAGAAGGTGGGGGGAGGAAATAGGACAGAGTTGAGGAGAAATCCAAACATGGGTATAATCTCAGGCACAGTCCCACCGCAAATGATCTCAGGTTGATCCCACAGGGGACTCTGGAATTTAAAGGTTATGCTGCAGAGTTCTAACTGAGGCGAGGGAGCTAGGAAAATTGTGGGGTAGAGGGATGTGTCTTGGTGGGCAGTTTTCTGAAAAAGAAGGCCCAGGGGTGCTGGATACGAAAGCACACCAAAGAGGGCACCCTCCCCAAGAAACAGTAAAAATAGATCCAGGCATCTGGGTGAAGCACAGACACTGGCATTATCCACTATAATCTCTGCAGGGCAGTTTTGCATCGAACTCTGCCAGGCATTTGAGTGTGTTACTGGCTGAGGACCAATATTTATGTTCGGTTCTCAATTTGGAGATTCTCTGATACCATGTGGATTACTATTCTGAAAAGTTGCAGGCCAAAGGAGCTGATTTCTCATTTAACAAGTCTTTTCACACAAAGTACAAGCCAAGCTTGCATGTGGCTCCCTGGGCTGCTGAGCTTTTGCTTTCTCCATCTTAGTTCCTCTTCACATGACGGGCCTTGAAACAAGGTTTCAGTTCCAAACCCTAATCTCCTGCCCTGTGCAAAGATTAAAACCCAGTCCAGGTATTAGCTGATTGAATTTTCTCTCCACATCACCCCCATAGCAACTTCTACGGCTGTACGCGTTTGCACTCAAGTGTGGTTCAAGACTCCGGCTTTGTCTGTGAAAAGGCTCCTCTTACTCTTGTTTTGGTTTTCTGCTTACGTACCCTTCAGTTTGGGATCTTCTGTCTTTCCTCTCTTTCAGATGAGTTGTGTGTGGAAAGAACTGAAAATTTAAACTGAAAGTAACATCCTTGACCTTCCAGTCTCAGTTTGGAGCCCAGTAGTCTTTGATTGAACCTTAAAATGGTCCCTAATTGTTAAGAGCAGTGATGGAGAAAAGTTGGAGGGAGAGAAAAGAGAAAGCTGTGACATCAAAGAATTCCGGGAACTGAAGTGTGGAAAAGTTGATATCCTCAAGAGGGATAAACAGGAAGGAGATGTCAACACGCTGACCAGAAGAGGAGGTGAGCGTATTCGTGTGCTCTATGGCCTACAAATGTATTTTATTTCTGTAGCCGCGAAAGAATCGGTAGAAAATTTTCTCTTGTAAACTCTTTTCTTAGAAAATAATATGAGGTTTCTGAGATAGCTGTAGAAAAAGCTGAAACACAACTTTTCTCAGTTTTCTTCCTATTCCCGCAAACTGAAAAATCCCCTTGTGCTGAATGTCTGACAGGAACTAAGACTAAAGTCTGGAGTTTTAATATTTGTTCTTTAGTACTCTCTGAAAAGTACTGACAGAGTACTGCCCCTCCTAACATCTTTTATAAGGTAACAGCCCACCCCAGCCAGTGTGGCCCAGTGATTGAGCATAGACCCATGCACCAAGAGGTCATTGGTTCGATTCCCGGTCAGCGCACATGCCCAGGTTGTGGGCCCGATCCCCAGAGGGGGCCTGAAGGAGGCGGCCAATGGATGTTCTCTCTCATTGATGTTTCTAAATCTCCTTCTCCTTTCCTTTCTCTCTGAAATCAATAAAGAAAAAAAATTTTATAAAAAGGTAACAGCCCCCAAAAAGTTGTGAAAGAAACATTTAAGCTTCCAGCAAAGAAAGCTTTTAACAAACAATTCAAGTGCAAACGGTTGGACTGATACGGGACCCTTCAAGCTATAGTTCCAAAGTATTAAGCATTATTTTGACTTTCTGAAATGCAAGTGTATTGCTATCAGTGCAACATATAGAAAAATAAAACAGAAAATTTAAGACTGTGAAGATTGTTGCATGCCGACTCCGCCCAGTTTGACCAACAGGCATGTAACCATCCTGGGCATGTGGGGTATGCTGTTCTGTCAGGAAAAGTTTAAGCACTTTTAATAAAACTCTTTAGAAGCACAGAAAAAGGTTGTGTTGAAAATAGCTTTATTAACACTGATGATGGAGATGTTGGTTATATTCAGGTTCTTACAGAGATTGTGCTATTATAAGTATCAACTACTCAGTTTCTTTCTGATGTTAGTTTCCCATTCCCTGGAAATTCGAGAAAACTCTCAAGCAAACGCAGCAAGTATCTGAGCTTGCATCCTAAGATAGAAGAATACCTGCCAAAGTCTGGAAGACTGGGAGTGGGCAGCATAACAGGGTTTGTTTTCCAACAAGAAAGAATTTTTCTTAAGGTAGGAGAAGGTAGAAGTACAAAAGTTTAGCCAAGTCCCATATGTTGTTAGAAGGAAGCGTCTTTGCCTTTGCCGCTTAGATTATAAATCAGCCCAGTTATTCTCAGCCTGAGAACAAAGGACTTGCAATGAAAAATAAGCAAACTCTCAAGAGATACTGAGTCCTCCTGGAAGTGGTGGCATTGGTGACACGGGAACAGAATCTTAGCCATGTTGACAGCAGTTGGGTTGGTGGTGTGGATAATGACAAGGTACTTGCTTCAGTGCCTTCTACTCTCTGGATATAAAGCATCAGAACCCCTGACTAGAGATGAGAATCCTCAGTCTTGGGCTACTTGACATCACCAGTGGTCCTGCCTATAGGGCAGATGTATTGTCGGTGGCTAATAATGGCATAGATACCACTCTAAACTTAGATGCATTTAGACATATTTTCTTAGTGATCTGGATCAGGAGATAAGAAAAATGGTAGGTTTCCTCATGGGAGTCAACAGAATGCTATCAGAACTTGCGTGTTTTCTTAAATTTATTTGGGAAGATCTGGGGGTTATATTTGTGTGTTTTTCTTAACCTATGGAATGCTTTATGAATTTGCATGTCATCCTTGCTCAAGGACCATGCTCATCTTCTCTGCATCATTCCAACTGTAGTATATGTGCTGCGGAAGCAAGTACTAGGGGTTATATTTCTGTGAAGAGTAAGTAGGAGTAAGCCAACAATTTGTCCATCACAAACACATACTTCAAACAACCGAACAGATGATTGTATACATGGTCATAACCAGATGGCCAATATAGAAATCAAATAGACTATGTAATTGGAAGCAGGAGATGGAGAGGCTGTATTCTGTCTGCCAAAACAAGACCAGGAGCAGATTGCGGTACTGACCACGAACTGCTAATATCAAACATTAGAGTAAAGCTGAAGAACACTAAAAGAATCACAGTGCCAAAATATAACGTAATGACATTCCTGATGGATTTAAAGTCCACATAAAACACAGATTTGCACTGTTAAACTTAATTGACCAAGAACCAGAAGAACTGTGGAACGAAACTACAAATATTATTAGGGAAGAATGCAAACAACGCTGGAAGTAAAAAGGAAAGGAGAACTGAGATGGATGACAACAGATACGCTGAAAATTGTTAAGGACAGGTGAGAGGCAAAAGTAAGGGTTAAAATCCTGAACATAGTTTTTCAATGACTGTCATGTAGAGGTAAAGAGAACTATTACAATAATCATGCCCTGGCCAGTTTGGCTCATTGGTTAGAGCGTCCACCTGCGGTCTGGAGAGACCTGGGTTCGGTTCCCGCTAAGGGCACGTGCCTCGGTTGCAGTTTGTCCCCGGCCCTGGTTGGTCGTGCGGGTGGCAGCCACTCGATGTGTCCCTTTCACATCGATGTTTCCCTCTCTCTCTCTTTCTCTCTCTTCCTCCCACTCTGTCTGTACAAAAAATGGAAAAATGTCCTCGGATGAGGATAAAAAAAAAGAGAACTATTACAATAATCAATGCAAGGAGATAGAAGACAACAAAAAAGAAAAACCATGAGATCTCTACCACAAGATTCAAAAAATAAGAGTGAACCTGGCCAGTGTGGCTCAGTGGATTGAGCATCGTCCCATGGACTAAGAGGTCCAGGTTTCATTCCCAGTCAGAGCACATGCCCACTTTTCGGGCTCGATCCGGAGCCCGAGGAGGCATGCAGGAGGCAGCCGATCAATGTTCTATCACTCTCTCTCTTCCTCTCTAAAAAATCAATATAAACTTATTTTTTTTAAAAAAAGAGAGAAATTAAAACCTAGACCAGGAATGCTGAACAACCAACAAGAAGCACATTACTGGACAGGAGAAAATAAAGGAAGGTGTAAACAGTATACTGAAAATGTATACCGAGAAACAAAAGGATGGCAGATACCTTTGAAGAAGTTTCCTATGAGGAAGAATGGTAATTCTGGGAAGTGAAGTGAAAGCTTCCCTGAAAGTATTGGAAACAAATAAATCACCAGGGGTAAATGGGATACTAACAGAATTATTTCAAGCCACAGAAACTGACTCTAATTCTAACAAGAATATGTCAACAAATATGTAAAACCAAACAATGATCTACAAACTGGAAACATTCAATAGACATCAAAATCTTTAAGATAGAAGGTGCCAAGGAGTTCAGTAATTATAGGACTATTGCTCTAATTTCCCATGCAATTAAAATGATGCTCAAGGTGATGCAACAAGGGCTTCTACCTCAATGGAGCAAGAAATGCTGGATGCTCAAACTGAAGCTAAAAATGACAAAACTGAAGCTGTCTTATTTTGGAGACATCACAAGAAAGAGGCAGGGGTAATTGGAAAAAACAATAATGCTGAAAAAAATAGAAGAGAGCAGGAAAAGAGGAAGACCAGATGAAACTAGGTTGACTTCATAGAAGATGCCATAGGCATGAGTCTACTGGAGCTGAGCATGGCTGTTGAGGACAGGTCACTGTGAACATCACTCATATCCATAAGGGGTCAGAGCCAACCCAAGAGCATATAACACACACAAGTAGGATTACAGATAGCTTATTTTTTCCTTAATGGTTATTTTTGTAATCTTGTTTATAAATTCAAACCATTGTGACTCAGGAAATGTAGGTGACATATTTACAGTCAGAAGAATGATCTCTGTTTTTCTGCTTTCTCTTCCCAAGTCATCCACTCTGTGGCTCTCTTGTGTATTTGTGGCAGACACTGACATGTGCTGCTCAAATCCTCCTTCAGAAGAGTCTGCTATGCCACTCTGGCCAGTGTGGCTCAGTTGTTTGGAGTGTCGTCCTGTACACCAAAAGGTTGCAGGTCCAATCCCTGGTCAAGGCACATACAGAAGCAACTGATGGATGTTTCTCTCACACATCAATGTTTCTCTCTCTCTCCCTCCCTCTCTCCCATCCTCTCTCTCAAATCAATAACAAACTAACAAAAAGTCTGCTGCCCAGCCTGGAGGAGCTCAGGGGCTTACAGGTTCCAGCAGTTGGCCTCCTTAGGATCCACCTCAGCTTTTGATCAGCGTTCAAGTTCTCAGCATGCCCTCTAGCCAATGACTGAGCAAAGTGGTGGGGCAGGTGGTACAGGGCTTAGCTTTCAATGTTCTTTGCCCTGGAGATCCCCACTGAGCCGGCACAGCTTTTGTCAGATTTCTGTCATGGCCTGCCAGCTCTCCCTGCCCAATTCTACTCCCTCCTTTTTCCTTTGAAGGTATATTTACCAATAAACTGTCTGCACTCCTAACTCATTTCAGTATCTTCTTTCTAGAGAGTCTAATGGGAAGGGTATCCCACACTGTCCTCGTGCCATACAGTTCTGTGTTTGATATTCTGTGCAATGCAATGTCCTGCCCCAGGACCTTTATTCTCAGTTATTATTTTTTTTTTATCAGACAGTTAAGTTGGTACTGTTAAAACAAAGAGACCTGGTTTTCGATTCAGACTTATTTTGAGTTTGAATCTCAACTCTGCCCTATACTTAGCAATATGAACTTGGTCAAGTTGCTAATTTCTATGAGCCCCTATTTTCTCATCCTTCCATTCTATATCTGAGCTAGAAATAGGTCTCCCATTGTATGGAAATCCAATTACTGTGTGAAACAATTGAGCATCCTCCTAACAGTTCCAAAAAGAGAGATCTCATTTCATGCTCACGATGAAAGGCATAGATTTAATTATATTTAGTCTGTTTATATTTTCCTAGATAAGAAGAATTTACTACTAAGTTGTGTAAAATGCATGAAATATTATTTTTTCTTCTTCCTCCTATGAAACAGAAATTCCCTGCACTATAAAATTTGCTTGGACATTTTTTCCTTTTCCTCTCAGAATTTCTATTTTCAATCATATCTCATCTTCTGCTTCTCTTAAATATTTTCTTTTTTAACGTTTTGTATATTTTTCTATCCTTTGACTTAGTTTTGTTGTTGTTATTGTTTTGGCTTTCAGTGAGGGGAGATACTAGCTCTTGATCTTTATAGTTAATAGGTCAGTTTTAGGATGTGAATTGCGTTCACTGTGTTATTTACTGAATTTCAAAAGAGGGGTTTCATTTCTTTTAACTTCCTCTTTGTCTTTTAAAATAACTACTTGAAATATTTTCTCTGGTGTTTTTCCATAGAAACCAAAAATTGGGAGAGGGACAGAAAAAAAAAAAGAGAGAGAGAGAGAGAATTATGGGAAATATTTCCAGTGTATTATTTTTCATGATTTTTATTCTCCTTGCCAAATTTAAACTCGTGAAGTCCTGACTAGATACTAAATACAGAAAAGACCCGAACAAATTGAACCTGTTATATTTGGTATATAAATATTACATTTTGAGAAGCAATCTTTTCTATGTAATAAAAGTATGTAATAAATGAACACCACCTAAACCTAATATCTTACAATTTTATAGTTTGATGAGGGTTTTCACTTGATCATATTTTAATCTTGTATAAAAATACCTAAAAGGCTGAACTGTTCCTTTTATACTCTTCAGAGTCTTTTTTTATTAAATTAAGAAGAGCAAAAAAATATGTAATAGAGTGTTAAAGTGAAAGTCTTACTTGAGACCTTAAGACAACAGAGCCCAGAGATTCTAGACACACACTTTCTGGGGAGGTGAGAGACGCTAGAGCAGCCACAGACACAGTTGAATAAGCGCAAGTACAGCATAAACAAGAAACAAGTTTTTAAGGTCTCTGAGTAGCAAGCATTACCTTAGTTAATATACCTTAAAAAGTAGCAAAATGTACAAGAGAAAAATCATAATCACTGAAGATTATAGTGATAGTAATTTGTATAGTATGAGAAAGAAAGATGTTTCTACCACATTAATCAGTAAGTCTATCCTTAATAATACATTAAAAAATAATTCAGCCCTGGCCAGTTTGGCTCAGTGATTAGAATATCAACCTGTGAATCAGAGTCTTAAGTTCGATTTCCAGTCAAAAGCATGTACCTTGGTTATGGGTTTGATCCTTGGCCCCTGTTGGGGTCATGCAGGAGGCAACCAATCAATGGGTCTCTCTCACTTCAATGTTTCTCTCTCTCTCCTCTCCTTCTTCCCTCCCACTCTATCTAAAAAAAAAAAAAAAAAAAAAAATCAATTGAAAAACATGTTCGGGTGAGATATTAATAATAATAATAATAATTTAATGCAAGAAAGTAGATGAGTACATGAGAGCTCTATATAGGCTCATATTTTTTTAAAAGTGGAAACGATCTAAATTTTCACCTGCTGACTGGTTTCCTATTGATATTAAAATAAAACTTAAGATCTTTATTGTGACCTCCTAAGGCTTTGCCTACTCTGCTTCATCTTACCTCACTCTTCTTTGTGCTTATTATACTTTATCCAGTGACCTTCTATTAGTGCCTCAACGTCATGCCTCCCTTTCTATTGCAGGGCCTTTGCACATGTTCTCTTGACTTAGAACATGATGATCTTTCCTAACCTCTTTTACCTTTCACCTGGCCTACTCCTTATCTTCTAGCTGCAGCATAGCTATCATTTCAGTAGGAAAACTTCAAACCAAGTCCGGTGTGGGAGACCTACTTTCCCTTTGTGATATTCACCACAATTTTATTTTAAAATATGTTTCTTGTTATTTATTTAATGGTTTTCTTTCTTGATAGATTTGAAGTTCTAGAAAGACAGAAGGT